CCCCAAAACCCCAAAACCCCTTGATGGATAATTATAGTTAAGTAGGAACTAACATTAATTATTGCTTTAAGTATAATAATCTATTTTCTTATAAGCGAAAAATTATTAGGATTTATAATTACAATTAAAAAGAAGAAATAGTTTAAATTTAATGAACAGTAGCCATTAAAACCAAAATTCATATAAGAATCCTTACTAGAAGACTTAACATCTCGATGTTATTGCTCCAAATGTTGTTAATATGAGAAAAAGATAAGAGGAAAGTGAAATGAGAAGGAAAAAGGATTAGGAGGATAGGTAAATCGATTAGATTGATCCAGAATAAGAGAGTTTTATGGACTTTTAGCTCGAGAATTTCGTTCTCCATTTTGTAAGCGGCAAGATATGTTATGAGACTACAAATGCTGTTGTAATTGATGTAGATAGCTAAGCACTTAGGACAGATTAAGATGAGTAGTAGTAATAATTCCGTAATAAGACTCTGCAAAATCTGACTGAACTTTAATGTGCAACAATTAGAGCTCAGGACACATCAAGCTATAAGTTTGAAGTGATCATCAATCCTCCGAAATATTGCTGTGAGTAAAAATTGAATTTAATTTAACAGAAAAAGAATATCACTAATATTAAAAGCTATATCAATGCTGCTATCTAGGAAGGAAATAATCAAAATTTTAAAGCTATCTCCATTCCAGCAACTTTAAAAAGCATTCAGAATTTGAAACCAAAGACTCAGATATTTGAGACATTATTTGAAACTCTTGATGAATATGATTTGAGTTAAGAATCTGCATCAGGATCATTAAAAAAGATAAGAATAGTGCTTGAAGACAGATCTGAGAGGAATCTTTTTGAGACAATCATTTCAAGGATGTACATTCAAAGAACTCCATTTAGTTTGATGAGTGATATTGATAGGAAAAAAGTTAAAGAAGGCATAAGCTTAACTGAGGAATTTCCTTGCAAATAATGTAACTAAGTATCATTTTCTACGAAAGAGAAATTATTGAATCATTTAGGGTTAGAATGCATTAAACTAAGATGCAAGTGCTGTGGTGATTTGTTTGCAGAAGCTATATATGAAGTAAGTTTGCTAAATCTGATCACAACTATATTAATCCAAGAGTAATTGATCATCTAAAATTACTATAGTTTCATTTCGAAGATTGCATCAAGCCAAAACTCCAAGAGTATGACGAGGTTAGTTAAATTTCAGAATTAGATCATAATTTTATCTAAACTTAATATTATAGACGACACATGATCCCCAAGACTTATCGGGCGGATAGTTTAAGTAACAGTATATCAATATCGATGACTTCAAAACGAGCTATTGGGATTAATTTGAACCTTCATTCTGCTTTTCTTGCTCTTAGAATTTAGGATTCGATCAGTTATATGTTATCTTGCATTGTAGCCATTTATTTCATTATGAATGTGCTGAGAGATTTTTAGCAAGATCACCGAATTGCCCTTAATGCGGATATGACCAAATAAGAAGAGCTATTTGAAAGTATTCAAATTCTTTAATTTTCAAGATAGACAGTAGTTTATTTGGAATTTCTAGAATTCAATTTATTTCTTAATTATCCATTTTTTACGAATAGATTTTCTCAGCGGGGTTTTGGGGTTTTGGGGTTTTGGGG